AGAGTCTTGGAGGAAAGAGGTATGTGTTTGTATGTGTTGATGATTTCTCACGTTTTACTTGGGTCAGGTTCTTAAGAGAGAAGTCAGAAACATTGGGTGTATTCGAACACTTATGGCTGCAACTCCGAAATGGAAAATGTAGTGTTCAGAGAATTCGGAGTGATCATGGGCGTGAATTTGAAAATGAACAGTTTGCAGAATTCTGCAACAAATATGGGAGTGTCCATTAGTATTCTGCACCTAAAACTCCTCAACAAAATGGAGTGGTTGAAAGGAAGAATAGAACACGGCAAGAAATGGCAAGAACAATGTTACATGCAAGAAACGTTGTGAAACGTTTCTGGGCAGAAGCGGTAAGTACAGCATGCTACCTTGTCAACCGCGTCCATATCAGACCAGGCACAGCCAAAACTCCATATGAAATATGGAAAGGTAAGACTCCTCCTCTAAAGTTTGTTCATATATTTGGTTGTCAATGTTTTGTGTTGAATGATCGAGAATACAGAGGAAAGTTCGATGCCAAAAGTGATGAAGGTATGTTCTTGAGTTATGCAATGAACTCTGCTGCATATAGAGTATACAATTTGCGCACTAGAACGATTATGGAATCAGCTAATGTTGTCTTTGATGAGGAACATAGTGCAGAGCAGAGTGAAGTCCCGCCGAAACTACTTCACGATGTTCCCAGTGAGCACTTGGTAGAAGAACAAACTGACAATGCAGAAGTTGAGACCAAGGAAGAAGAAGATTTGGAAATTATCTCTACTCCTACAGTTCACAGAAATCATTCCGAAGATGATGTGATCGGAAATGTACTCGATCCCATGCGTACACGAGGTAAAAGGATGAATTATCAAGATATGGTACGTTTTGTGTGTTTTTCTTTGCAGAATGAACCCTCTCGAGTGGATGAAGCATTGAAGGACGAATTCTGGGTAAAGACAATGCACGATGAACTGGAGCAATTTGTGAGGAATGATGTGTGGTATCTTGTGCCCCGACCAGATCACATTAATGTGATTGGAACGAAATGGATTTTCAAAAACAAAACCAACGAGTCTGGAGAAGTAGTTCGCAATAAAGCCAGGTTAGTCGCTCAAGGATACACACAAGTGGAAGGTATCAACTTCGATGAAACTTTTGCACCCGTTGCTCGACTAGAGTCTATTAGATTGTTGCTTGGCATTGCGTGTTTTCTTGGTTTTAAGTTGTTTCAGATGGATGTCAAGAGTGCCTTTCTCAATGGTGTGATTCAAGAAGAAGTGTACGTCGAACAACCTGCTGGTTTTGAGGATCCACATTTT